TGCAAACCAAAACCCCAGTGAGAAGGGCAGGATAGCACACGCTTGTAATCTCAGCACCTGGGAGGAGCCTGAGGTAGGAAGAATGGGTGTTTGAGGCTAGCCTTGGCTACAGGGCACGGCAGTATCTGGGCAAAGCAAACAGCAGCGGCAGCGATGAGTTATCAACCCACGCATTAGATTGTCTGAAACGGTGATTGACTGATGATACCCAGCAATGAGTTATCAACCCACCCATTAGATTGTTTGAAACGGTGATGACGACGCGGGAATCACCCTCTCCCCACTTGGGCATGTCTGTCTTTCTGAGCACCCTTCCTGAGCATCTGTCCTGACTTCCTTCAGTGATGAGCAGCAATATGGAAGCATAAGCCAAATTAACCCTTTCCTCCCCAGCTTGCTTTTGGTCATGGGGTTTCATAACAGCAACAGGAACTCTGACTAAGACATCCTTCTTTCTGCCTTCATATCAACTGTGAGTTCACTTTTAATTTACTTCATTTAATCAATTCACTCAACCAACATCTGCATATTATGAGGCAGGTATTGTCTTATGTGCCGGAGGCCATGTTAATTAGATCATTAATTTTTTAATTTGAGGATTTGAGACCATGAATGCCTTTGACTCCCTTTAACATTTAAATAGCAGCTCAGATAATTTCTATTATCTGAGTTATTTTATTCTGTCATTCAAACTTTTAAAGACTTCATTTATATTAAGTCTAACCTTAAATTCCATAATAACAGAAAAACTTTTTGTTCGATACAGATACATTTTGTGACACTAGATTTTTTTAACTAATACATAACCTGTTTTTCTAATTATTCCATGTATGTTTGAGAGCACAGTTCCTCAGTGATGTTAGCAGAGAGAGAGAGAGAGAGAGAGAGAGAGAGAGAGAGAGAGAGAGAGAGAGATGCAAGGTGTGGAACCCTGGAAAAGAGCCAAAGTTTTTCAACAGTCATTCAAATGCCCCATTCAAAAAAAAAATCCGCATTTAAACCTTGCCTCATCAGCTCTCTGAGATGTCATGGTTTGGTGGAAATGAACCATTCTCAGGTCCCTCTTTCACTATGGAAGGAAAAGAATGAAAAACAACTCACTTGCAATACATGTGGGCCACCCAAGGGCTTGGCTCTGTATAACTTACTCCAGGGACAGAAGGAATAGAATGGCTTCATGACTTGGATCTCAGGTTCAAAGTCATGAACAGCCGTGGTTGTACCAGGTTTTTGCTTTGGGGCCACAAACCAGCTCCCAAATCATGACACAGACATTATTAGTTTTAGATGCTCAGCCTAACTTAGCTCTTTTCTGACTAGCTCTTTTAACTTAAATTAACCTGTTTCTCTTTATCTAGCTTTTGCCTGGGGGCTCATTACCTTTCTTTCTTCTGTATATCTTATTTTCACTGCTTCTCGTGTCTGGCTGCCTCCTCCTGGCCCCGGGCGTCTCCCTCATTCTCTCCTTCTCTTGTTTCTCCTTTGGTTTCTCCTGAGCCTAGATTTCTCCTCCTATTTACAGTCTCGGCCCACCAGCCCCACCTATCCTTTCTTTGCCTAGCTACTAGCTGTTAAATTCTTTAGCAGAGCAATCAGGTGCCCTAGGCAGGCAAGGTGAAACAGAAGCAACACATCTTTACATAATTAATCAAATACAGCATAAACAAAAGTAACACATCTTTATACAGTTAAAGTAATATTCTGCAGCATAAACAAATGTAACACATCTCTGCCTAGTTAAAACAATATTCCGCAACAAATGGTAAGGAACTAACTGAGCAAAAGAAAGAAAAAAAAAGCATACAGGGAAATGTCACACCCATAATCATCTAGAGGTAAATGATTTCAGGGAGAATAATCTGATAATGTTCTGGAAGCAAGTATACAACTCTTAGAGAAACTAAAACTCTTAAAAGCATATTATGTGTCTAATTATATATATACATATATATATTTATAATATACATACATACATGGAAACTGGGGGAAGACTAAAATCTAAGCGTGGGGAGTATGCTCACAAAAGTCCTGGATACCACCTCCCTTGTGATCAGCAAGAGGGGAAAGTTGGCTGTCTTAGCAAGTGTTGAATTTTCTCACAAGCATCTACCTACCCCCCAAGACCACAATGCATATTTTTAAAAAGTGAGAAAATTCAATGAAAATCAGTAAAATTCAAGAAAATAAAACTAAAGAAATACAGAATTTGGACATAACAGAAAAAGACTTTAAAACAACTGTTATAAATTTTTAAAAATCCAAAGGAAAATGTGGATTAAGAAGAAAGAAAGAAAGAATGAGAATGTTTGAAAATCCAAGTTATTATAAACGAACAAATTTCTTCCCTGGTTTTCTCCCATCACTACAACAGACAGAAAAAAAGGCCTTTGACAAAATTCAGTATGTCTTCCTGATAAAAGCCATGAAGAAACTAGGAGTAGCAGAATATAACCTAACATAATAAAAGCTGCAGGCAACTATCTATAGCTGGCATACTAAATGGGGGAAAATTGAAAGAATGTCCTCTAAAATAAGGGACAAATGTCATCTGCCCTCTCCACTCTCATTTAGTGTAATGCTTGAAACTTTACCTACAGCAATAGAGGGCAAAAGGGAAAAATTAAAAATGTTATGAAATCAAACTAGTCTTATTTGCAAATGGCATGACCTTATCCTTTGAAAGCCTGAAAAGTCCCCACCTGTGGGAACACCAGACCTTGAGCAGAGACCCACTTCCCCTTCTGCCTGGGAGTAGGCAGCTATAAGACAATGTTTACTAAAAACAATACAATGCCTGGGGGCATTAAGTTCCTGGAAAAGGCCTGCCCGCAGAAACCACCCTGAGCTCGACCTTGTCCAGAGACTAACCGCCTCTTCTGCCACGCCCAGATCAGTTTCTGGGGTCAGAGCAGAACCAGCCAGGGGAGAGGAGAGAGCAGAAGCTTCTCTGGTGGGAGCCTTTCTTAGGAAGTTTTCTTGAACCTTTTTGGGGCCTGCTTAAAGTTTTCTTTACATCGTTGAACGAGTCTCTGTGTTGTCAATCCCCGACACCCTCCGCACGTTCTCGGACACAGGCCGCGCAGCAGACGCGACACCCACCAAAAACACTTAAAGCAAGAAACAAAGCAAATGCACAAAAATTAGGGAGCTTTTCTATATATTGATAATAAACTAGTAAGAAAGAAATTAGGAAACAAAACCTGATTTACAACAACTTTTTTGAAAACTTAGAAATAAACTTAGCCATGTATATGAAACTTACACTGAAACTTCAAAACACTAAAGAAAAAAATTAAAAGACACTAGATTTAGCACAATTAACATTGATAAAAGGAACATATTGATGAAGTAATCCAAAGTTGACGTAGTTTCCATCAAATATGCATTGATATTCATTACAGAAATGTAATACTTAAAAAAAGACCCTAACAGTCATACAGAAAACAGAAGACCAAAGCAATGCTAAGGAAAAAGGTATTGACAACTCCTGCCTTTAAACAGCACTCCAGAGCCAAAGGAACCAAAGCAGCATGGCACAGAAACAGACATGAGGTTTTGAAAATGAACTACGTGAATAACTTGAAAGACCCCCCTCCCGACATAGCCCACCAGGAACTGTCTGAGTTCACGCTAAGGTCGAGGGCCCCTGGCGCCTCGAGGGCTTGACAAACAGGATATTAGTGGTCGGCCATCCAGAACTGGGGAGTTAACACCGGGGAGTTTCCCATCCACAATGTGCCCGAGATGAAAGCTAAGTCAACCTCCTGCGACTTCCTTGTATTCAAGCCAGGTGGCCCCAGTCTAAATCTCTCGCCCCATTAAATTTGACCAACGAAAATCCTGTGACCATGCATCCGCTTTTGTACCCACGCTTTTCGCTATATAAGGCACCCCCGTTCCCCATCTGGGCGCGCTTGGTTCCCGAGACCAAGACGCCCGGGTACCCGTATGTGTGATCAATAAAACCTCTTGCTGATTGCATCCATACGTGTGGCCTCGCTGGTCCTTGGGGGGGTCTCTCAGATTGAAAGTATCCCTAGTACGGGGGTCTTTCATTTGGGGGCTCGTCCGGGATGAAGACCCCCGCCCAGGGACCACCGACCCACCACTGGGAGGTAAGCTGACTGTGCGGATCCGCTGTTTGTCTGGTGTCTTGTGTCCTCCAGTGTCTGCCTGCCCGATCGTATGTGTCTCTGAAACCGCGCCTGCGTCCGTAGTACTCAGCTGTGTACATCTGTAATTGGCAGTAGGGGGGGGACGACGGGTTCGTAAACCCCCCCCCCTGAGGCTCCGGGAGACGTCCCAGGAGCGTCTGATTTTTGGCTCTCACGGTCTATGCCCAGGCATTTTTCCGTCCTGTTTGGAGCCGTCCCTCAAGGGGAGGGATTTTCAGCCCTACTGAGGGAGGGAGAGAGGCAGGTTGCCCTCCCATCTGAGAGTTTGCTTTCGGTCTTGCGCCGAAGCCGCGCCGCGCGACTTCTTTGTCTGTCTCTGTGTTTGTTTCTTGTAACTGGTATTTGTGTCTTCATCCTTTCGGAAGAAATGGGACAAGCAATTACCACCCCTTTGTCCCTCAGTCTCGAACACTGGAAAGAAATTCAGGAATATGCGCATAACCAGTCCGCTGAAGTGCACAAAAAGAAATGGGTAGCTTTCTGTGCCTCCGAATGGCCCACCTTTGACGTCGGGTGGCCGCGGGATGGCACATTTAGCCTAGACATCATTAGGCAGGTAAAAGAAAAAGTCATGGACTCGGGGCCACATGGACACCCTGACCAGGTGGACTACATCATCACCTGGGAAGCTCTGGTTCAGAAACCGCCTGCATGGGTCAAGCCGTTTCTCTCTGGAGTGGTCCCTCCCTCCCCCAAGTCTGCCAAACCATCCGCACCCTCTCTCCCTCCTCCCCTGACTCCACTCCCAGCCCCTACCCGCTCCCGATCCGCCCTATACCCAGCTCTTGTGCAAGCCTCTCCTAAGGCGCCCCCTCCCCAAACCTAAGGTCCTGCCTGCAGGGGAAGAGACTCTACTTATGGATCTCCTGTCTGAGCCGCCTCCATATCAAGAGGCACCCCACGAGGCGGCTAATGAAGCAGAGGCCATGCCTGCCGAACGCCCCGCTGCGACTGATGAGGCAGCCCCCTCACCTGTGGCAAGCCGCCTCAGGGGGCGGCGGGAACAGGCCCCTGCGGACTCCACCGCCATGCCTCTGCGTACCGGCCCGGACGGCCAGCTGCAGTACTGGCCGTTCTCCGCCTCCGATCTCTATAATTGGAAAAACAATAATCCTCCTTTTTCTAAAGATCCCTTGCAATTGATCTCCCTTTTAGAATCAGTCCTAGTGACTCATCAACCCACCTGGGACGATTGCCAACAGCTTTTACAGGTGCTACTGACTACTGAGGAGAAGCAGCGGGTCCTCCTCGAGGCGCGGAAGAATGTGAGGGGAGCGGACGGACAGCCTACCCAGCTCCCTAATGAGATCGATGCAGCCTTTCCCTTAACCAGGCCGGAATGGGATTTTAGTACTGAGGCAGGTAGGACTCATCTTCGTCTCTACCGCCAGTTGCTCATAGCAGGTCTCCGGGGGGCAGCTCGGCGCCCCACCAATTTGGCTCAGGTAAAACAGGTTTTGCAGCGAGCAGAGGAAACGCCCGCCGCGTTCCTTGAGAGATTGAAGGAGGCATACCGCATGTATACGCCTTACGATCCGGAGGACCCAGGACAAGCCACTGGTCTTGCCATGGCGTTTATCTGGCAGTCCGCCCCAGATATCCGTAATAAGTTACAGAGGCTGGACAATTTACAGGGGTATACGGTCCCTGATTTGCTAAAGGAGGCAGAGAAGGTATTCAATAATAGAGAGAGCCAGGAAGAGAGAGAAGAGCGTTGGAGGAGAGAAAACATTGAGAGGGAGGAAAGGCAGCGAAAGGAAATGGAAGAGAGAGAAAATGCCAGGGATAAAAGGAGACAGAGGGAGCTTTCACGGTTGATGGCCACTGTAGTGTCAGGACAGAGACAGCGGCAGGATAGACAAGGAGGAGATCGAAGAGGACCCAGGGTAGATAAAGATCAGTGTGCCTACTGCAAAGAACGGGGCCACTGGGCTCGGGAGTGCCCAAAGAAGCAAAGTCGGAACAGAAATACAAGACCCCAGGCCTCAGCTTCTCTCCTAAACCTAGAAGACTAGGGGAGTCGAGGCCAGGAGCCCCCCCCTGAGCCGCGGCTAACCCTACACGTAGGGGGGCACCCCGTCACCTTCCTGGTGGATACAGGGGCACAGCACTCCGTTTTGACCAGGTCTCCTGGCACGTTGAGCGGCCGCACGGCCTGGGTCCAGGGAGCCACAGGAGGAAAGACCTACCGCTGGACCACCGACCGGCAAGTGCAACTAGCGACTGGCAAGGTAACCCACTCCTTCCTCCATGTCCCAGACTGTCCATACCCATTGCTGGGTAGGGACTTATTAACTAAACTAAAGGCTCAGATACATTTTGATAAGACTGGGGTCAGCATCACTGACCCGTCGGGAAGGCCGTTGCATGTGCTCACCTTGTCCATAGAAGATGAGTATAGACTACATGAACGAAGCAAAAAGGCCCCAACCGATATGGAGGGATGGCTACTCAAGTACCCCCAAGCATGGGCAGAGACCGGGGGCATGGGTCTCGCCGATAGCCAGCCACCCATAATTGTGTCCCTGAAAGCGAACGCCATCCCAATCGCCGTAAAGCAGTACCCAATGTCCAAGGAAGCCAGAGAAGGCATAGCTCCTCACATCAATAGACTGTTGGATCAAGGGATCCTCGTACCCTGTAAGTCCCCCTGGAACACCCCTCTATTACCCGTCAGAAAACCAGGAACGGGGGACTACAGACCAGTCCAGGACCTCCGAGAGGTTAATAAACGGGTTGAAGATCTACACCCCACAGTGCCCAACCCCTACAACCTCCTTAGTGGGCTATCGCCTACCCACGTCTGGTATACGGTCCTGGACCTCAAGGATGCCTTCTTTTGCTTGAGGCTACACCCCAACAGCCAGTTGTTATTTGCCTTTGAATGGAGAGACCCAGCTCGGGGAATCTCCGGTCAGCTGACCTGGACAAGGCTACCCCAAGGGTTTAAAAACAGCCCCACTCTCTTTGACGAGGCACTACACCGGGATCTGGCCGTTTTCGGGTCCAGCACCCCTCTCTGATTCTGCTCCAGTACGTAGATGATTTGCTGCTGGCGGCTACGTCAGAGGAAGACTGTCGCCGGGGCACCGAGACCCTACTCCAGGTCTTGGGGAGTCTGGGGTACCGGGCATCGGCCAAGAAAGCCCAGCTCTGTTTAAAACAAGTGACCTATCTGGGCTACAAAATAAGGGAAGGGCAGAGGTGGCTAACTGAGGCCAGAAAGCGAACCATTCTGAACATTCCCGCCCCAAGAACCCCCCGTCAATTACGGGAATTCCTGGGAACCGCAGGCTTCTGCCGCCTCTGGATCCCGGGTTTCGCTGAGTTGGCCGCTCCCCTCTATCCCCTCACGCGGACCGGCATCCCCTATAACTGGGGAACGGACCAGCAGCAGGCCTTTGAGAATATCAAACAGGCCCTCCTACACTCCCCGGCCCTGGGACTGCCCGACTTGCTGAAGCCCTTCGAGTTATACGTTGACGAAAGACAGGGCTACGCGAAGGGGTGTTAACCCAGAAGCTGGGACCATGGAGGAGACCGGTGGCCTATTTATCCAAGAAACTGGACTCAGTGGCCGCAGGATGGCCACCCTGCCTCCGGATGGTAGCGGCGATAGCAATTCTGGTTAAAGATTCTGGCAAACTGACCATGGGTCAACCCCTTACCGTTCTGGCCCCGCATGCTGTTGAAGCAATCATCCGACAACCTCCGGACAGGTGGCTCACCAATGCGAGAATGACTCATTACCAAACCTTACTATTAGATACCGACCGAATCCGGTATGGGGCCCCGGTGGCCTTAAATCCAGCCACCCTCCTACCTCTCCCTGGCACCCCGAACACCATGATTGTCAGCAGATCCTGGCCGAGGTACATGGCACTCGCCCAGACCTCTCAGACTTGCCCCTCCCCAACCCTGAACACGTCTGGTACACGGACGGGAGCAGCTTCATGGAACACGGAGAGCGGCGGGCCGGTGCGGCGGTGACCACGGAAGATCAGGTAATATGGTCCCAAGCTCTACCTGCAGGAACCTCCGCTCAGAAAGCGGAGCTCGTAGCTCTGACCCAGGCTCTAAGACTGGCGGAGGGAAGGAGATTGACGGTGTATACCGACAGCAGATATGCCTTCGCCACGGCCCACATCCATGGCGAAATATACAGAAGGAGAGGTTTACTTACTTCGGAGGGAAAAGAGATTAAAAATAAAAAAGAAATACTAGCCTTGCTACAGGCCATTCATCTGCCGCGAGCTCTCAGCATCATCCATTGCCCAGGGCACCAGAAAGGGGACACTCCAGTTGCAAGAGGCAACAGGATGGCTGACTGGGCGGCGAGGGCGGCCGCCACTGAGGAAAAACGGGTCGAAGTCCTATCGGTTGACTCTAGACCTCATCATGGTGACTCCCGATGGGAATACACGGAACAAGATGTCAAGGCTCTGCACTCCCTGGGAGCACGGGAAGATCTAAAAACTGGGAAATGGGTGTACCAAGGAAAGGTAGTGTTGCCCTACGAAATGGGCCGCCATTTGATCTCCTGGCTGCATCGCCTCACACATCTCAGCTACCAGAAAATGAAAAAGCTTCTGGAACGGGAAGAAGAGGTCTACTTCTTTCTACAGAAGAACGATCTTCTCAAAGAAATCACCGAACGTTGTGACGCCTGCGCCAGAGTGAATGCTTCTAAAATCAAGCTGCCTCCGGGTATAAGAACCAGAGGTCACAGGCCCGGCACTCACTGGGAAGTAGACTTTACTGAAATAAAACCGGGCAAGTATGGATATAAATATCTACTGGTTTTTGTAGATACCTTTTCAGGATGGCCGGAAGCATTCCCGACAAGGCACGAGACTGCCGCTGTGGTGGCCAAGAAGCTATTGGAAGAAATCTTCCCCCGATACGGGATGCCCCAGGTAGTAGGGTCAGATAATGGTCCCGCCTTCATCTCCCAGGTAAGCAGAACAGTGGCCACCTTGTTGGGGATCGATTGGAAATTACATTGTGCATACAGACCCCAGAGCTCAGGACAGGTAGAGAGAATGAACAGAACAATTAAGGAGACCTTAACCAAATTAACGCTTGCAACTGGCACTAGAGACTGGGTCCTCCTGCTACCACTTGCCCTGTATCGGGCTAGGAACACGCCCGGACCACATGGGTTAACCCCATTTGAGATCCTGTTTGGGGCCCCGGTGCCCATTATTAATTTCTTAGGCCCCGATGTTTCTGACTATGCTAATACCCCTTCTCTACAAGCCCATCTACAGGCCCTCCAGCTGGTCCAGAAGGAGGTGTGGGAACCTCTAGCCCAGGCGTACCGGGACCAGAGAGACAATCCGGTCGTGCCTCATCCGTATCAGATCGGAGACGCTGTCTGGGTCAGACGCCATCAGACCAAAAACCTCGAACCTCGCTGGAAGGGACCATATTTGGTTCTGTTGACCACCCCTACCGCGGTAAAGGTTGACGGGATTGCCGCTTGGATCCACGCGAGCCACGTCAAGCCAGTCCGATCAGACGACCCTCAGCCGCAAGGAACATGGACAGCCCATCGCACCCAAAACCCTCTAAAGATAAGACTCTCCCGGGTTGTTTAATTGTTTTACTGTGCCTTGTGCGAGTAGAGGGGAGCCCTCACACCCCGCAGCTCTTAACTTGGCAGGTGTTCTCCCAGACGGGGGAGGTGGTCTGGTCTCTCTCAGGCTACCACGCGCCGGGTACCTGGTGGCCCACCCTCACTCCCGACTTCTGCCACCTGGCCGCCGGGCTGGAGACCTGGGATATCTCCACAGTCGGGGCTCATGAGATGACTCAAAATATACAGTCCCCCCGCCACCCCTAGGAAAGACCTGGCCACAAGGGTGCCGCAATCCTAGAGCTAGATGTCTCCTGGCACAAATGGACTTCTACGTCTGTCCTCAACAAAGACAGTCTCGAGCCTTAAGATGTGGGGGATACGAGAGTTATTTCTGTGCCAATTGGGGCTGTGAGACCACGGGGGATGCCTACTGGAAACCCAGATCATCCTGGGACCTGATTGAGATACACCGTAATTATTCACGGCCCCCTCTGGGCCGCTTTGATTGTGATCATGGCCCTGGTAGATGGGGCTCTTGGTCCTGTAAATCAGCTACCTGTCTCCCCCTCAACATTACCTTCACCCAAAAAGGCAAACAGGACTATACTCAGTGGTTAAAAGGAAAAACCTGGGGACTGAGATGGCACATGCCATGGGAAGATAGAGGCGTTATCCTCAGAATCCGTTTAACCTCCCAAACTAATTCGGCCCCTATCGGGCCAAACCCCGTGCTGGCGGACCAACGACATCCCTCCGACCCATCCGGCCCTAAGCCCGAACGCCTTCCCTCACCGAACGCCACCAATTCGCCCCCACCAGCACCACTGAGGCTGCCCAACCCGGCACGGGGACCGGCTTATAGGCCTTATCCAAGGGGCCTACCTAGCCCTAAATGGGACTCAACCTGACAAGACTCAGGATTGCTGGCTCTGCTTAATGTCAAGCCCTCCCTACTATGAGGGCACTGCAGTGGTCGGGAACTACTCCAACCACACTTCCCCACCGCCTACGTGTACCGAGGGATCCTCACACCGATTGACCCTAACTGAAGTCTCAGGACAGGGTACATGTCTAGGGAAAATTCCTCCCTCTCATACCCTCCTCTGCAACTCTACCCAGACCTTGGGCCCAGGAGCATACTATTTGGCCGCCCCTAATGGCACTTACTGGGCGTGCAGCACAGGTCTGACTCCCTGTGTATCTACCGCCGTTATGAACATGTCCCGGGACTACTGTGTCCTAGTCCAGCTATGGCCGAGAATTACTTATCATACCTCAGAATATTTTGTCAGCCAGTTCGAAGAAAGATCCCAACTTCGAATTAGAAGGGAGCCAGTCACATTAACGCTGGCCCTCATATTGGGGGTTGGGGGAATAGCGGCCGGGATAGGCACTGGTGCTAAGGCTCTCTCAGAAACCACCCAGTACCACCAACTGCAGACAGCCATGCAGTCGGACATTAGAATCCTTGAGGAATCAGTAACGGCCCTTGAGAAGTCACTCAAGTCTCTGTCTGAGGTAGTCTTGCAGAATAGGAGAGGTCTGGACTTATTGTTCCTTAAGGAAGGGGGATTATGCGTAGCTCTAAAGGAAGAATGTTGCTTCTACACCGACCACACTGGAATCGTAAGAGACAACATGGCCAAGCTGAGGCAGAGATTAGATCGGAGGCAGAAATTCTTAGATGCCCAACAGGGTTGGTTTGAGGGCTGGTTCAATAGGTCACCCTGGTCTACTACCCTAATTTCTGCCATAACAGGGCCCATAATGGTCCTCATTCTCATTCTGATATTGGGGCCCTGCCTTCTTAACCGTTTAACCCAGTTCGTGAAAGATAGGTTCTCTGTCATACATGCAATGGTTTTAACACAACAGTATCAACAACTTAAACAGATGGATCCAGAGTTAACTAAAGCACTTGAATGAAGGATTCCATTCAGTCACAAGAGAAATGGGGGAATGAAAGACCCCCTCCCGACATAGCCCACCAGGAACTGTCTGAGTTCACGCTAAGGTCGAGGGCCCCTGGCGCCTCGAGGGCTTGACAAACAGGATATTAGTGGTCGGCCATCCAGAACTGGGGAGTTAACACCGGGGAGTTTCCCATCCACAATGTGCCCGAGATGAAAGCTAAGTCAACCTCCTGCGACTTCCTTGTATTCAAGCCAGGTGGCCCCAGTCTAAATCTCTCGCCCCATTAAATTTGACCAACGAAAATCCTGTGACCATGCATCCGCTTTTGTACCCACGCTTTTCGCTATATAAGGCACCCCCGTTCCCCATCTGGGCGCGCTTGGTTCCCGAGACCAAGACGCCCGGGTACCCGTATGTGTGATCAATAAAACCTCTTGCTGATTGCATCCATACGTGTGGCCTCGCTGGTCCTTGGGGGGGTCTCTCAGATTGAAAGTATCCCTAGTACGGGGGTCTTTCAAACTAAACCCTGATCTCTCGGTAGAAAACCCAAAGTGTGTCAAAGACATTAATATCAGAGACAAAACTGTGGAACTGACAGAGGAAGACAGAGAAATCACTTCAAGATACAGTCAGGGACAATGTCTTCCTTAGGGTTTCTACTGCTGTGATGAAACAGCATGACCAAAAAGCAACTTGGGAAGGAATGGTTTCTTTGGTTTACACTTTCACATCGCTGTTCATCAGTGAAGGAAGTCAGGACAGGAGCTCAAACAGGGCAGGGTCCTGGAAACAACTGATGCAGAGACTACGGAGGGGTGCTGCTTACTGGCTTGCTTCCCACAGCTTGCTCAACCTGCTTTCTTATAGAACCCAGGACCACCAGTCCAGGTGTGGTACCACCCACAATGGGCTGGGCCCTCTCACACCATCACTAACCAAGAAAATGTCCACTTGGCTCCCCATGCCTTCTGCTTGAGGTGAGTGTGGGGCCCACTAAGGCCCAAGTCCCCCCCTCACCCTCCTCGGAACTTCCTGGGTTGGCTTCGACTGCAGTGGACCTGTCCAGACAGGACGGACCATCTGGAGACTGCTCACATTGTAGTCCTGCCCCCAACTCTGCTTGAGGCGAGTGTGGGCCTGCTCAGACCGAACTCCACCCCCCACCAATCCTCTCCTTGGAAATTCCTGGGTTGGCTCCTCTCATAGTGGACCCGCCCTGGGCACATAGGACCATCCCAGGCCTGACCTCATCACAGTCCTGGCCCCCCCACGCCCTCTGCTTGAGAACTCCAAAAGAGCTGGGACCATCCAGAGTTGCTGACATTGAAGTCTTGACCCACCTACACCCATTGGGAGATGACAGGAGAGAGAGACTTCACCTGCACCCACACGAAGGGATGGGAAGACTACAGTATAAGAACATATTCAACAATAGAAAGACCAATTCGATACTACCAGAATCTAGGGACTCTACACCAGCAAGATCTGAGCATCCCAACAGATATGAAGCAGAAGAGAAGAAACATAAAAACAGCTTTATGAAGATGAAAGAGACCCTCAAAGAGGAAATGAGAAAAGTCCTTAAAGAAATGGAAGAAAAAACAAAAAGTACAGGAAGTGGAGGAAAAGACCAATCAAAAAATTCAAGAAACAAACAAATCTCTTAAAGCAAGGAAAGCCAAGAAAAAACAACCAAACAAGTGAAGGAAACAATTCAGACAATACAAGACTTGAAAGCTGAAATAGAGACAATAAAGAAAACACAGAATGAGGGAATGCTGGAAATAGAAAAGCTGGGTGAACAATCAGGAACTACAGATGTAAGTATAACCAACAGAATACAAGAGATGGAAGAGAGAATCTCAGGTGTTGAAGACTCACTAGATGAAATAGAGTCATCAACCAAGGATAATCTTAAGTCCAACAAATCCCTAACACAAAATATCCAGGAAATATGGGACACTGTGAAAAGCAAAACCTAAGAATAGGTATAGAAGAAGATGAAGAAATACAGCTCAAAGGGACAGAAAACATATTCAACAAAATCATAGAAGAAAACTTCCCTAACCTAAAGAAGGATATGCCTATGAAAGTATAAGAAGCTTACAGAACACCAAATACACTGGACCATAAAAAAAAATCCCACTTACTGCATAATAATCAAAACACCAAACTTACAGAATAAAGAAAAAATATTAAGAGCATCAAAGGAAAAAGGAGGTCAAGTAACATATAAAGGCAGACCTATCAGAATTATATCTGACTTCTCAATGGAAACCCTGAAATCCAGAAGACCCTGGATAGATGTTCTACAAATGCTGAAAGACCATGGATGCCAACCCAGACCACTATACCCAGCAAGGCTTTCAATCACTATATCTGGAGAAAACAAGATATTCCATGACAAAACCAGATTTAAACAATACATATCCACAAATCCAGCCCTGTGGAAAGTTCTGGAAGAAAAACTCCAACCCAACAGTTTTAACTACACTCACAAAAACATACACAATAGATAATCTCACTATACCAAAAGCCAAAAGAAATAGGGAAGGGGATTCACACACAATACCACCACCAAACCCAAAACAAACAAGAATTAATAATCAATGGTTATTAATATCCCTCAATATCAATGGTCTTAACTTGCCTATAAAAAGACACATGATAACAGAATGGATATAAAGACAGAATTAATCTTTCTGCTGCATACAAGAAACACACCTCAACTTCAAAGACAGATGTTACCTCAGAGTTAAGGGTTGGAAAAAATTTTCCAGTCAAACAGACCCAAGAAACAAGTGGGTGTAGCAATCCTAATATCCAACAAATTAGATCAATCAAAAGAGATGAAGAAGGGAATTTCATATTCATCAGAGGAAAAGTCCATCAAGATGAAGT